TTGAAAAAGACCACAGACTTCGAATAATCAGGATTGCTTAGATATCCTTTTAAATAGTGAAGTCTATAAAAACAGCTTTCCGGCTTATGAGCCATGCAAAAGTTGACTCCTAATACAAATACCCAGGCACAAACATTGTACTCTAGTCCTTCTCTTGATACCTGAAGCTCATTAAGGGGCAGAATAGCTGTTGTAGCAGTCTTGGTGCATGTCTACAAGAATTCTTGACGCAGGTTTCTTTGCTGGACTTTAGCTCTGCAAACCACTTACCTTGTTCCCAACTGGGAAGCAAGGTCCTTACAAATACACAATAAAATAGTTCTTTTAAATTTTGCCTGAGCTTGAGTGCATTTTTGCCAGTTCTAGATGATTCTTCTATGACTTGTTTGAGGTATCTCTATTAATTGTTGTCACTTACCATAGGTAGCCAGCAAATTGGTCATACACCTAGCTTTTCAGCAGAATTGACCTGACCTCATAAATGAAATGGCACTGCAGTAAGCCCAAGTCTTGACCCACTCTGTCAGCTAATGCGATTCAGGCTTTGGTGTGCCAGTGCATGAGAACACTTGCCTTTTTTGGGCTCTCCCATACTGAAAGGAGGCCCTGAGGATACCTGCCACATTCTGTGGGATGAAAACTTTAACCAATGGAAACTGCCAAATGAAGTGCTTATTCTTTTCTTGCTTTACAAGATTAACCTTCAGGTCCTTAAAGGCAACGATATTTTTGCAGTTTCCGGCATCTGACTTGAGTAACACAGGGTGCCTCAATCTTGAGGAAACTTGCTGAGGCTTCTTAACTGTGAATCAAGAATGGTGGGCTAGACAAGACATGCAAGAGGAAGAAAATGAGCACAGGCTCAACAGGGCCATCATGGCTGCTATGGAGGGGCAAGTTCTGTTGGATCTGTGAGTTTGAGGAAAGCTTCCACTGGTTAATGAATCTGTTTATGGTGGAGGATGGTGAAAAGCTACAAGTTCTTGATTGCCATGAATAAAGTATTGGTCAGAGTGGCTAATACTTTAACTTCCTGCTCTGCAATCCCACTGCATTAGAAATGGTTGCAAGACGGGGTCCTAGCTGTCAAGACTGGCTGTGTGTATGCTTCAGCTTGTTCTGCTTTGAGTGGGTCCATCCTGTCCCATTTTTTTTTCCAGCATGGCATGTCACTAGCTCCTGTGAGGAGGAGAAAAAGTTCTCTGCAAAAGATCAACAGTATACTCTTCCAAAGGCCTGTCTCTGCTGTGCAGTGAACAGTGAAAATGGGATACAGTATTCTGTTCTGGAATGGCTTTCTATATTAAGACAAAGGCAGCTGGTTTAAGAACCCTTTCAGGACTGCTCCACCCTGTTCATACTCCTGCAGTTGGTCCAGCATTTGTGCAGATGCTCTGGCGCTCAGACTATCTGTAAAATCACTTGTTCCTCCTACATTGTCGCCAGAGCATCTGCACAAATGCTGGACCAACTGCAGGAGTGTGAACAGGGTGGAGCAATCCTGAAAAGGTTCTTAAACCAGCTGCCTTTGTCTTAATATAGAAAGCCATTCCAGAACAGAATACTGTATCCCATTTTCACTGTTCACTGCACAGCAGAGACAGGCCTTTGGAAGAGTATTCAGTTACCCTTGAATATAGCCTCTCTAAATAAATGAGAGAATACGAGATGTCATAAGATGTGAAGTGGAAGAGCCTAATTTCTTCCCATTGCAAATGATGTTTCTTCTAGCTTACTAGTCAAAGTAGCCAAACACCTGTTGTGTACGGATTTAGTGTAATTTCAGTTACCTTTGAATATAGCCTTTCTCAATAAATGAGACAATACGAGATGTCATAAGATGTGAATGTTAAACCAAAGACTTTCTTAATTTCCTGTGTCTGAGTTTCATATTGTCTTGGTACTTTCCTAAATGCACTTCCTTTCTTAGGAGACACTTTGTCCTGAATTAGTAGTTGAGGAGAAAATGAAGACAAAATTTATTTTTTTAACCCATTAGAGCAAAGAAGACAAAAAGTTGAAGAATATCTGTCAAGAAAGAAGACCTTTTCTGGTGTGCGCATTCAAGAAAAACAGGCATCTTTCAGGTAGCGTTATGCTTTCTGCTATGGCTAATGCTCCTTTAGAAAATTCCATGGTTGGTGGGAAAGAATTAAATAGCAGTTCTTGCAGAGAACCATCGACTTCCTAAGGTTCTTTTATTGGCAGCAAGTACTAAAAGCCTTTGTGAAAGGAATGAATCTTAATAGATGCAACTTATGAACTGTCATCTGCTTCTCTTGAGACTGAGACAGGAGGAGGGCAGGCTGTCTTCAAGGCAGAGCTCTTATTTTATGTTCCGCTTTATGGCTTGTCTCTATAACCTTCATTCTGCAAATAACTTTTCCCCAGTTTCTACTCAAGTTATGCTGTCTGTTCATTGTATCTACTTAGTTTAGCTTCATTATGCGTAGTATTTACTAATTCACTCTTTTCTGTTGAAGCAAATCTACTGTGATTGAATCCAGCCTGTGTGAAGCAGGTAACCATAATGTTTTGTAAGTAGAGTGTGGGCTCTCTCTCACCAGTTAGTTGTACTTATTAACATTTTATTTTTGTATTTAAATCTTTTTCCTCCTGTTGGCTAAAGTCTAGATAAATATTTTTTACTGTGTAAGGCTTCTAAATAAGCAACAGATTTCCTTAGAGAACATAATGGTGAGAAGTAGAACAGAGGGTTCTAGCTCTAACATTAGCTTGTGGTGTAGCTTTGTCACCCTAATCTGTTTTAGCAAAATTTCTGTTTCAGTCTGAAATTTGTGTTCACCTACCCCTTGCTTTCAGTTCCTTCTCTGCCTATTAAATTCCAGGGCTATTTATAGCTTTCAGTTAACTCACTGTTAAGTGACATCATGTTTGTGGTTATGACTAATGCTTTTATTTTGCAGATATTTCCCTTTCTGGAAGCTGTTACTAGCCTACGCTGTAGGGCTGGCCTTAAGATTGGGTTTTCTGATTGGTTCCCTTAATGTATTTTCTGTATTGTAGGTAAAAATGAGGTGATGCAGACTGCTTTCTCCAATATTTAGAAGTCACTAATGTGTCTTTACCTTCCTTTTCAATTCAGTTAGCTTCCGGAATGTCTTCTGATACAAAGATATTAGTTGTTAATTAACAAATATTAATTTTAAGTTGCATGCAACTTGTGTTACTTGTTCTATATATTGCATTATGAAGCATTTGAGGAAGAATTTGAATTTGTAACTTGAAATTGAAATGTTTTCTTCTGAGTTGTCATTAAATTTTCATAGCTTCTAGGAAGTAACACTGGCCTTAGCGGTTTTGGTTCTCACTGGGTAGTGTGATCTTGACAGCTCTGGTGCCTGATTGCAGGTTTTGGAAGCTCAGTATGATGGGAACTATGTATCCCTGCACAGACTCACCCCAAAAGGCCTGGCCTCTGACTACCGCAATAACCTAGCTTCACTTCCTTTTGCAGGATGTTGCTTGTTTTCTTTCTTTCCCCCGCAAACACAGCAGCATGTGCAAAATTTGATCTCTGTAGTAGATGCGTTAGACAACAGGTTGGTGTTCCTCCTTAAACCTAAAGTGACTGCAGGAAATATGCTCTGCTCCCTGCTCTTCTCTGTTTGTCGGCTCTTTTTGGTGGAGGAAGGCATGCTCTGCAGTCTGAGCCATGACTGTTGCTTAATTAGCCATTTATCTCTTCTGGAGGAAGAATATACGCTGAATAGAAATGCTTCAGTGTGAATTCAGACTGCTACCTGGAGCGTGTTAACTTACTCTAAAATACTATATATTCTTGTTATTTCACAAGATAATTTAAATTCTCGTCTTTTTTAAAGCAGTAGCAGAACTGGGAAAGCAACTAGCAATAAACTGCAAGACAAAATACAGGCCTTAAAATCTGCAAAGCGAAAAATGGTAAGTCTTTTCTTAGAATGATATGCAAACACTGATGCCAGTCTTCTGTGGCTAGTGTTCCACTCACTGTTTTAGTGCACTGCCCCATTACTGTATGCAATGGATCATACTGACACTTAGTTTGTACCTGACTGAACACGGGATTAAAGAATTATTGCTCAAATAATAAATTGGATTCAATTTTCCCACCTTGGGGTTCTTGGAACTTTTTGGATATACTTAGTCTTCAGGATGTTTTTAAAATTTGAGCAGGGTCTTCTGCTGTCAGAAGAATTTCTATTGTACTAACTTATTTGCACAAAATCCTCCCCCAAAACCTTAAAGGACCCCACCAAACCCGGGTCATGAACATGTGTGGTTTTAAGTTATAATACTGGTAAACTTAATGTGCTTGGAAGCAGAAACTGAACACCTAATCAGAGTTTAAAGAAATGTTTCTCCTATATCATTTTGTGCAACTCTTCTGAAATTAAGATGTACCCATGTTCACGGTAGTGCTGCTAGAAATGGCAAAATACAGATTCCCTCCTAGACCTATTCTTAGCAAAAGGTGAGGAAACACTAGGCAAAGCCTACATTCGTGTTAGATTGTCTTGAGTTTGGCAGTGCGATTTGCAAAAGATTTGAGAAATCTGGGGTTATGTGAGGAAATAACTTTGAAAATGAATGTTAAGAGGGAAAATTCCAGTGGTGAAAACAAAGGTTTTTAGAAATTTTCTGAAGGAGGGGAATTATTTGGTCTGTGTTCATTTCTCATTTCATTTTAAAGTGGAGTTGACAAATTAGGTGCATCCTTTAAATAACTGGTTCTTGAGTACAAGAACTGCTATTGATCTGGTCAAATCTAAAATTCTAAGTCTGAATGACAAATCAGAAAATATGTAGTTTTTGAGGTATAGTTTTCCAAGGAAGATTCCCTTGAATTGTAAGAGGTGAGCATGTTATGGTCTGGTTGAGTAATTTTGTGAGTCAGATCCTAAACAATGACTTCAAGAGTTAACAATATTCTCTGCAGCAGTACTTTCCTAGCCGTGAGCAAACTGAGTGATCAGTTTCTGCAAACTTTGATAGGCTGTTCTGGTATTTCTCCTGCCTTTGAATGTTTTACTTTTCCATAAGATGCTGCTTGAATGGTGCTGCATTTGTTGCTGCAGAACCTCTTTTGAAGGAAGAGACTAGATCCTGCTTCCCCATGACCTCTGAGCTAGAATCCTGCTGAGAAAATGCAGAGTCAAGTGTTTCAAGGAGTAGTAAGGGAGAATGCCATACATAAAAATTCAAGTGCCTTTTTATCTGTTTACTACTTTTCGTTTATTTTGTCCTATTGCTCATTAGTAAGAAGATTTCTTCCTCTTCTGGTAACAAATGCTAATACCTCTCCTTTCAAGGGCTTTACTAGTTACCTTGTGTTAATAGGCTATCCACACTTAGGAGAGGAATGGCTAAGTGATAGGATATTCAAAGTGAGCTTCTGACTGTATGCAGCCTAATCCATTTATTTTTTAGAATATTTTTTATTTGATTCTCGGATGTGAATTCTGCTGTAATAGTAGATCACTTCCTGCAAATGTGTGAAAGACCTTTCAGAAACATGAGTAAAATGCAGCATGAATGTACTTCTACCATCTTTTAACATGTCTTTTATTTCAGGAAGATACAGAGAATGCTGATAAAGTTTCCTGGGACCAATCAAGCAGAACCTTAGAAGAAAATGTTATTTTAAAGTCTTCTACAATCACTCTGGCAAATTCCACATTGGGGAAAAGCTATAATCCTGAAGATTTTACTTCCAAGGATGAAGCCGCTGAAATAAAACCTCAACATGTGTCACTTAGCCGGTCCTTCTTGCATGTCAAAAGCATAAAAGAGAAGCAACTGATTGCAGAAAAACAAAATTCAAATGTCAGCCTACCAAAGAAACCAGTGCTCGGTACATACCGTGGCAAAGTTATCCAATCCAAGATAAACTCCTTCCGAAAAGCACCAAAAAGTGAGGGGGGGAAGAGTTCTTTGCCAGACAAGAAGCCTCTTATTTCTGCCACTAAACCATCAGTGAGATCTCTCTCCACAAGCAACTGCAATGTAGTTATGAAGACCATCAAAGTCACAAACTCCCCAAATTCTGTAAAGCCAAAGGGTGTCCTCCCATTCCCGAGTAAACCAGCTATCAAAGCTAACTCACAGTCCAGTCTGAATAAGCAACAGTCAACGTCTGCTGTATCACTAACAAAAGTAACAGGCCAAAAGGTGATTGGTAGAAGGGGACCAGTGCCACTGAGGGCCACTTCAAACAGTTCTGAGCACAAAATATTAGGAGTGAGGAAACTTGCAGATTCCTGTGAAGATGCAAGACCAGAAGCTACAGCAAAAGCAATTTCTGTTGTTCCTGTTACTAAATCAGGACAGGATTCTAAAACTATTTGCAACAGAAAATCTCTTCTGCCAAAAGAGTCAGCGGAAGAGAGAAGGTAATTGAATTAGCGTCTTGCCCCTTGAGCACATGAGGTAGTTAGACCTTTTCAAGAACACCTAAAGTAACCTTACCTGTTGCTGTAGATGCACTGAAGAATGAGAACTGAATGTTTAAATAGAACTTCATGTTGACCAAAAGTCAATAGACTGTAAAACTGCGGTCTTAATACTGAGAAACTGGGATTCTGACTAGTTGCAGCACCTCTTCAGCTTACAGCTTGTCCTGTGCATATATGAATAGAAAACTCTTGTGTTTCCAGTTCTTTTAGGCTAAGTGACATTCTTAGTAAGCATGGCACATACTCCTGTAATACTCCTGTAAATTAATTGCACATCTATACCAGTACTTTAAAAAAAAAAAACCTCAGGCAATATGTGTATAGAAGTGAGCATATCCATACACTGAGGGAGATCACTTTTCAATGAAATATTTTTCAGCTTTGCGAATATAGCCTGGATAATGAGGTGATGGTGGTGATCTAAAAGTTGTAGGAAGTCATGTTTAACAAATCAGTAGTCTGGGGGAAGGAGGGAAAATGAAATGGATGTGAAGACAGTTACATTTAAAGACAACATCAGTTCCATATTTAAAAACTGTGTGATAGTGTTTGCAGTTGCTCTGCATGCTTTTTGTCTTTAGAAACAATCTTCTCCAGTTTTCTACTCTGAAGTGGATAAGATCAGAAGCACTTTTACCCTCCCTTGAAAAATGGAGTTTTTGCCTTAGTCTTGTGGCTGCTGGACAGGGAGAGATTTAAGTATTATGACTTGGTAGATAGGAAGCAGCTGAGGTGTTAGCCATGGTTCTCAGGTTTCTGCACAGACCTGTGTGGCAACTGTATGCCTCTTAGGATTAAAGGAGGACTGTCTGTGGATACTTAACCTCTCAATGTCTTTTTGTGATTTACCCTAATTACTATCAATCAATGTAGAAAAAAGTATCTGTTTGATCACAGCTAATGTTCTTAAATGCAGAGTTCGCCTGGCTGAATGGAGGGCATCTAAAGGAAAAGTGATGAAGAGACCACCTCCTTCTGTGTTCCTGGGAACCCAGTCTAAAAGTGAAGCACAGGAATTCTCTTCTACTGATGATTCTTTAGAGCATTTATTACATGGTGAAAAAGTCAACAAGACTCTCACAGAATGTCTGCAGTTAACTGAACAGGTATAAGATCTCTTGCCTGCCAAGTTAATCCTATAATCATATAGGTGCCTAGGGCATGGAAGTCTGCAGACATGGGGAATTGAGACTCAGATTACCCCAGATTAAGCAATATCATAGTTTTCTGACACCCGCAGAAATTGTTTTTTGCTAAACTTCACTAGCTTACTGAGCTATCCAATGAGATTAGCTAAATGTTGAAGTAATAAAGTAGAAAAGCCATAAAGTAGTTACGTTAGCTATGAGGTAAGCTAGAACAAGCTTGCGTTTGTAGAAACTTGTAAAGATGTGCTATGGACTCTGTTATCCATTCTGCTTACAATACTGTTTAAATAGTTCTCATTTGGAAGAACAGATGAATGAAGTCTCCTGTTCAAGGGATCACATCCTATTCCTGCATAGTTCAGTCTTGTAAATACCTGCTATCTTCAACTTTCAGAATTACTCTTCAAAAAAAAAAAGCTTCCTTTTAACGTCAAAATCAGCTAAAATATAGTGCCTGAGGATGTCTGCTGCAGTTAAATCTCTTATGTACGCTTTAGGGAAGTCAAGGGGATGAAGTACGTGCCATGTTGGAAGATCTGATAAAGAATATTCCTGGGGCTAAAAAGCTTGCGAAATATTGGATCTGCTGTATGCGTCTTGAACAGATGGGCCCTCTTGAAAAGCTCATTGTTGTCTATGAGGAAGCCATTTTGGCAGGAGCAATGGTAAGAAACTCATTTTTAAGATTAATAAGCTTAAAGGCATAGAAGTATTGTCTATAAAATATAACTACTTCCAATTTTAATAAATGTGTTTATAATAGGATAACAATCTTAGCTACTTGAGCAAAAATTGGATTTTTCTTGCTCTGTAACATCCATAGATATTCACTTATTATTTTCAAGGAGAAAGGTTTAAGGTCGTCATAATACCATATGGTGCTCTGTCTGGGAGAAATAAAGGATTGAGACTTCTAGTACTGCTAGAAACTCAAAATAGACCTTAATTTTGCATTTATTAGTGGACTTAATTCCTGTGCTTTAATGTCAGCAGTATTTTAGTGCATCAAAAACAGCTTGGCCATGGTTTGCAGGATTTCGTTATGTTCTGACTGGTATTCAAACAGCATTAAAGGATTTATAGCATGAACGTTGTGTAGTCTGTACCACTCTCCTGTTACTGCCACACCAAAAAAGCTGAAATGATTAGTTTTGGAATTTTTTCTAAAACAGTAACCTTTTTTTCAGCCTAAGGATGAGCTACGATGTGCGCTAATAGATATTATGAAAAATACTGAAAGCCTGCTTAAGTCTGAGGATGGTAAGTTTGAGTACTCAGTTAAGTCAAATCAATTGTATAAACTATTTGTGCCTATATGAAATTCTATTTTAGGGAAACTTCCCCTGTGATGATTTTGTACTTGAACTCAGTTGTCCTTCAAAATTAATCTTGATAAACTAATCCTTTTCAATTGTAGGCATGTTAACAAGGGTAGTACCTGATGGTGGAGACACTCTCATGTTTCAAACTTTTCACTTAAGCTCTATAAGATCTGTGATCAGCTGCTTTAGCCTGAGAATCAAACATATAGCAAATTAAAACATTCTTATGAGCTAAAATCAGTTGCCTCTTTGACACGTAAGCTGTCTCAATAGTAGATACCATAGCAATTCTGTGCTATGACATATTGTCAATTAAAAGTGGTCAGTACTTCAGTTTTGGAAGCCAAGCAGCCATACAGCTGTTCAGTATAGGTGTTCATTATGAACTATGCTGGCAAAATCTTTGAGTGATCTCCCTAAAAAGATAAAAATCTGTTGAGCCCTTGTATCACATGATGAACAACTTCTCTTTTTAGTTGCAACTAATACAGCTGCACTTCCAATATTTTCATTTTAGGGGGAGCTGTGACAGAAGCTCATTTAAGTGAGATAGCAGAAGTCAGCAAGGAAGCTAACTCATTTGCAGAGCAGGTTCAGGAGGTCTTCAAGGATCTCAACTCAGAGGAGGACCAGAAAGCAGAGAGAGATGACAAGAAGGCAGAGACTAGCAGTGAAGTGATCAAAAATGAAGAAATGGATGTGGACTTGAAACCAAGAGAAGAGATCTTGCCAAAAAAGAATAAAAAGCACAAAACTAAAGAACGTACAAAGAAGTCAGGAAAATGCGAAACAGAAGAGCAGAATGAAGACAGGGTAAAAGATGCAATCCAAGCTCTTAATTCTCCTGATAAAGAGAATGATGCATCTTATTTAATGAAATATAATCTATCTACAGCTCCTTACTTGGAAAGGTAAGATTACTTAAGGTAACTATGGAAAGTTTGCAGTATCTGGGCTTATGAACATTTAGTTAAAAGATTACTAAGAACTGTCTTTCAGAGAAAAGCCTTTTTTTAATCCTAGAGTCAGCTATCAGAATGGAGGCCTCAAACTCAAATGAACTATTTAGGTAACAAAGGCACGAATTCAAGACCCCCTTTCAGAGCCCATGTGGTGGCAGCATTTCCACACTGGGCTGGGTGAAAGGAAAGTAGGTTTCTACAGTAATTTCTTTTCTGAGACAAATGTGGCTGCATGTTCTACAATAGAACAGAAGTGAACAATATATAATTACCCTTTGAAGATAATTTTGATTGTATCAAGGCAAAAATCTGGATAGTAATCCTGGGACAAAACAAATAACACTTACACTCTTTATTGGCACAAAGCTTTCTTCTGAGATAGCAAACTCAGTCACGTTCAACTTTGGAATCTGAAGTTGCACCCTAGCATTGTCTGCTATCCCTCATAGCAGAAAGATCAGTTCCCTTCGATGGAACACCCAAAACCTAAACATCTACTGTTGGGAACACATTTCAGAAGGTTCACCAGATTAAAATATTTTGCCCAAGGAAAGAGTTGCATGTAAACTCAATAGTCCTCTGGTTTTAATTGTATGAAGAGGAAGAGCCTGTTTGCTGTTTCCTCTGGCTGTGGAAGTGGGAAGACTTGACTAAGAATCATGACTGGCTGTTTCTACTAGATGTTACGGAAGTAGTCTGTATAATTACGTACCTATGTTTAGTGCAATTTTTTTCTTTTCCTAAGTATGAAGATGCACCATGAGGCAAATGACTTCAATGCTAAAGACCTGAAAATTGTAACCCCTTTGCGATATTCTCAACGTATTCGGGAGAAGATGTGCAAGTTGTCAGATACCGTTAAGGATCATGATCCCTATGTGTCTTCACTTGAGCAGCTGGGAGAAATGGGATCAAAACCCTATACCCAGAAACAGAACAATGCACTGGAAGAAACAAGTACTGAAATAGAAGAGTAAAAGTAGTAATATTTCTGCAACGGGGGGGGGGGGGGGGAATTGGATCCTTTTTAAAGAGATTTGACTTTTTTAACAACTTAGAGGTGCTATCCAAAAATTTTAAGGATGGCTTAAGGATCAGATTTGACTGTTTGTCACTAAACTTTTAAGCTTGTAAATTTGTATGTTCTCAGACTCTTGTGGAAAATCTGTTGGTCTGTTTTGGTACTTAAACACATCAGTGTCTTCATGTTAAGTATGATTCATGTTAACTATTGAATTAAGGACTAAGATACTACATAGAACAGTTTTGTGATTGTAGTGTATTGCTAGCAGCTACTGTTTTCCTGTTAGTTCCTATATGTTCATTAGAATTGCACGTTCCTCTAACTTTCAGTTTAAAGAACAAAAATACCTTAGGAATTTCAATAGGGCAATGTCTACTATAGCAACTTTTAGTTTTGAAAACTGAAACCAGCTAGCAAAGAGTGGTACTAGTTTAAGCACTATCCCTTTTTAGCGGTTATTTCAACAAAACTGACTTTAATCCCTTGAGTTACTGGGATTATTGACCAACTAATTAACCTTAGATGGGATTTCATACACTAACTACTATGACTATTCTAATATTGTTTTGTCATTAGCCTAATAGGGTAGGTTTATTTAACTGAACTGACATGTATTTGTTTGTTTATGGGTTTTAGGCTGGAAATGGTAACTGTGGAACATGGCTACAGTCCTGAGAGACTGGAGCCCTGGACGTAATCGTAGTCGATTCTGGAAAGTGAGCTGAAATATGCGGAATGTTGTAACTTTTCCCATCCAAGGAAAAAGTTGGATTTGTTTATTTCGGTATGCGAGGATTAGCTCAACTGTAACTAAATAAACCTCAACAGTTGAACATTCCCCGTCTCCAGCGGCTCTCGGTTCGGACTGCTAGCTCGAGTCCTCCCCTCGGGTTAGGCCGGGGCTGCCGCCGCC